CTGCAATGATTATCTCATTGTATCCTCACTACTACCGTGGGAGGCAGGTGCTATTTTATCCGCATTTTACAGGTGAGGACAGTGAGACAGATAGGGCTAAAGTGGCTTGCACAGGGTCACCCAGCCAGTATGTGTCCGAGGCTACATTTGAACTCTCGTCTTCCTGTTTCCCTGTGTTTCAGAATCCTTAAAGGCTTACCATATTTTGCTGTATAATCGTCGCCACTCCATAATCGTCGCACCCTGTTTTTTTCAGTCCAAAAATTGGTATATAACCTTTCATCGCCTAATCATCGCATGGTATAATTCTGTTCTCCATGCTGCTTAAAAGGTAACCAGAGTAGCAGTGCATTCACCAGTGGCATGTGGACATGCCTTTATCTCTGGAGCACTGTGAGCCGGGAGCCTAGAAGTCTCAGCCCAGGTGCGTTGTCAGTGTATTTCTGAAAGCCGACTTGCACGGGGCGTTTAGAATACTTCGGTACTAGCAGTGTTCTCACTCAACCCAAAGAAGAGCCGGCGGTTCGAGGGGAGCGGGTGCAGCTGCCGTGAATAAGTCTCGTGCTTTGGGAAGACTTGCTTCTTCCTGTGCTAGCTAAACCGTACAGTTCGTCTACTAGCGGTACGTTGACGTCCGAAGCATTTCTTTCTGACTATGGGTAAATATAGAAATTATTCTGCGGGCTTCAAGCTGAAAGTGATTGTGTTTGCTGAACAGCATGGAAACAGAGCTGCAGAAAGACAGTTTTCAGTGAGCGAAAAGTTGGTGCGAGACTGGCGGAAACAAAAAGACAAGCTAGAAAACACAAACCTTTCTAGACGGGCTTTTCGAGGGCCTAAAACGGGCAAGTTTCCTCAGATCGACGAAGAAGTGTTTGTGTATGTCAACGAAATGCGTAACAGTGGCTACAGAATATCGTATGAGATGTTGCAAATGAAGGCCCGGGAGGTCGCGCGTAAACACAACATTCTTACCACTCAGTTTAAGGAGAGCCGTGGCTGGGTCATGAGGTTCCTGCGACGACGCAATCTGTCTGTTCGAAGGAGAACCGCGCTGTGCCGAAAGTTGCCGCCTGATTACACTGACCAGGTGGAGCGCTTTCATCCGTTTGTCCTGCACACGCACCAGCAAACTTCACGTTCAGTTTTCACCTATGTTCACAAACATTCTGTGCGTCCTAGTCTTGCACCAAAGACAGTTTAGTAGTATGTTATTTTTAAGTAATACTGGCACAAACTTTTAAATTTTTAAAAAAGAGCTTCACATAATGGTCGCACCCCACGTTGTTTTGGCACAAACTCTGCGACGATTATGCGGTGAAACACGGTAGCTCAGTGCTCTTGCTCTACCAGTTAGGGTCTTTTAATCTGTTTACATTCTCTACCTCCCCAAAGAATAGTAACTTTTGTGTTTATTGAAAGCACTGCTTCTCTTTTGGCTTTGTAATCGCTCGTGCCTTTTTATGTAGAAGCTGCTTCATAAATGTTTATTGAGTTGGGGGCCCTGTAGACCCCAGATGCTCCCCTGAGAAGGAAGGTTTCTTTTTTGTGGGGTCTGTGGGTCTGTGGACTGGAGGACCCAGCCAGAGCCCCCTTCATAGTGTGATTTTCTTCCCAGCTGTGCCTCCTGAGAACGCTGCTCTTCCCTGGGAAGAAATTCCTCAAAGAAGAGAGAATGGCCCCTGTGCTCCTGACTTCTCAGGCCTGCCAGGTGAGTGGGACTTAGCTCTTTCTTGAAATGTCATTCCTTTAACATGTGCAACCCCCCCCCCCAAAACTGAGGTTCTTGTGTGGAGGAGGAAAGACCTCATAGAGCATCTCACCCAACCCCCTCATTCAATAATAGTGAAAACTGAGACCCTGAGCGAGGATTTAATAACTGCTGTCATTCTCTAGTGCTTTGCAAATATTTTGTCATCTTATCCTCACGACCGCTCTGGGAGGGAGATGCTATTATATCTCCATTTTATGGATGAGGAACCTGGGGCAAACAGATTAAGTGACTTGCCCTCAGTCCCCCAGCTCGTCAGTGTCTGAGATGGGATTCTGACTCTGGGCACTGTGCCACCTTGCCACCAGATGTGGCAGGCCGTGACCACCCGATGATCTCCTTTGGAGATGCTGCTTCCCGGCCTTGGGGACCTTTCTTCACACGTGACACTCGCTCACTCGTCTGGCAGGGCTCTCACGGCTCCTCTCTGCTCACTCCTGAACTTGAAGGTTCCATCGATGTACAGGTCGTCAGCCTTCAGTGGTAGCTTGTCCCTTTGTACTTGAAGGCTCACCAAACACTTCGCCCACAAAAGCTTGTCCATAGTCCAAGCAGTCGTAGTTCCGTTTTGAAGATGAGGAGACGGAGACTGGCAGGAAAGGGGATTTGACCTGGATGATGCCAGCAGTAAGTGCTTGAGCCAGGTCTCCAAGTAGAGAACGCAGTCTACTTCTAACTGTCCCCAGTCTTTCCCTTTTCTGAGCCAAGACCAGAGGAGACCAAGAATAACTGGGTAATGCAGGGTGTCCCAAAGGTCTTCGTGCAGTTTTAAGCTTTAGTAACTTCAGTAGTATAAATGCTACAAACTCACCCCAAAATAGGAAAAGTTAACTACGTGAAATTTTAAAATTCAACATAACCAACTGTCTTTTGACATACATTGCTTAGGGTGATTTTCTAATTTAGTCAATAAACATGTAAGCCCTTACTGTTCTGCCGGGCACTGTCCTAAGTGCTGGGGTTACAAAAAAAGAGAGAAAGATAGTGCCCACCCTCAAGGAACTTACAGTCTAATGAGGGAAGGAAGCTGGAAAGGAGGAACAGGTGGTGAAAGATGGTACCTGGCTCAGAGACTTGATGGAGAAGGAAGGGATGGGTGGCCTAAGGGCCTCAAGAGGAGTTTGGGGAGGAGCCCTTGGCTCTGCCCGCCAGTCAGAGGGGTGCTGGGGCAGAGGGCGCTAGTGAAACGTGAGGCTCCTGGGACACAGTGGAGAAGTCCATTATCCCTGCTTGACTTGACTTCCTTTCATTTGAAGTCAAGGTGCTGGGGGAATTAGATCAAATCGACAGTGTCTTCTCTGCTTTTGAAACCCTCGCATCAGGTGTATTCTGTTACCAATCAGCCCTTGGTAAACTGTACCCCTTCCCCGCCACCCCCTCCCACCCCCTGTTCCTGATAAACCCCACCAGAGGAAGCCACACAGCCCTGCGCTCTCACTGCTCCCTGGTGACCCATCGGCTTCTTGCTGATTGACTTACTCTTGTACTCCCTAGCTGTTTCAAACCTCAAGTCTCCCTTTCAGATCATAGTGTACCCTGGCTCCTTCCCAACCACTCAAATATGCCCGTGTCTCCTCCATCCTGAAAAAAACCTCACTTGATCCATCCATCTCTGCTGTTATTCTATACCTCATCTGCCCTTTCTGTCTGAAGTCTTTGAAAATGCAGCCTGTCTGCAGCTGATGTCTCCACTTCCTCTCCTCTCACTCTCTTCTTAACCACTGACACTTTGGCTTCCGACCTTATCATTCCACTGAAACTGCTCTCCATTCTCCTGGGTCTCTCTGCAGCCTTGGACGCTGCTGATCACTCCCCCTTGACACTCTTCTCTCTCCTGATTCTCCTGCCCAGCTGACCCCTCCTCCGTCTCCCTTGTAGATCCGTTTTCAGATCACCTCTTCTAACCGTAGGCGTCTCTCAGGGCTTTTCTGGGCCCTCTTCTTTTCTCCCTACATACTACTTCTCTTGGTGACCTCGTCAACCTCCATGGATTCAAGTTCTCTGCTGACCTCCGATCTCTAAGTGCCTTTCAGACATTTGGAACTGGGTGTTCAGGAGACATCTTAAACTAAACATGTCCAAAACAGAACCCATGATTTTTCCTCCAAATCTTCTTCTCTCCCACCTTCCCAGTCACTGTCAAGGGCACCCCCAGCCTCCCAGTCCCTCAGGTGCATAACCTTGGAGGCATCCCAGATTCCTTTTTCTCTCACTCCCCAGATCCAATTTAATGGCATGGCCTGTTGATTTTTACCTCTGCAGCACCTCTGGTCCCTTTCACCTCCACGGCACCTCTGGTCCCTTTCACCTCCTCAGCACCTCTGGTCCATTTCACCTCTGCAGCATCTCTGGTCCCTTTCACCTCTGCAGCACCTCTGCAGCACCTCTGGTCCATTTCACCTCCGCTGCACCTCTGGTCCATTTCACCTCCACTGCACCTCTGGTCCTTTCACCTCCGCTGCACCTCTGGTCCATTTCACCTCCGCTGCACCTCTGGTCCCTTTCACCTCTACAGCATCTCCAATTTGCCTCCTTCTCTCCTCTGACACTTCCCCCACCCTGGTGCAGCCCCTCATCACTTCATGCCCGGACTATGGCAATAGCTACTGGTCAGTCTGACTGCTTCGGGTCTCTCCCCACTCCAGTACATCCTCCATTCAGTCACCAAAGTGATATTTGGTAGTCCCCTCCTACTTTTCTAGTGATCTTATACCTTGCTCTGTGACACATACTCTTTGATCCAGTGACCCCTCCTGGTTGTCCCATGAACAAGACCCTCTATCTCTTGGCTCTGGGCATTCTCTCTGCCCAGCCCCCATGCCTATGTCAACAGAATTTTGAATGCAATCCAGACTGGACCAGTCACTAACCTAGGAATGGCCAGAGCCAAACAGAGCAAGTCAGGGGCAAACATTTCAGGACACAAAGTAGCAGTATAATTTATTTTAGAGTGAGGAAAATAACTTGCAAGCAAGGAAGCCCCCTCCCCCCCAAGGAGGGCTTAGCATATTGGGGTACAGGCAATGCTTATATCCATAAGTGAGCTGGACCATGACATAATCATTCTTAGGTCTTGAGTAGCTATTCCCACGGCAGGCTCTTTCGTGGACAATGCAGGCATTCTTGGGTCCGTGGGAACAGCCTCCAAGCTGATTATCTCACAGTGGGGTCCAGTGCTGGGTTTGGTTCACTTAGCTCTTACACGGAGCAGGGATTGTGAGCAAGTCAGGCGAGATGGTGGAGATGGGGCAGTAAACACTGATGCTTGGTCAAAGCAATAAGCGTTGCCAAAGGGTGAGATCATCCAGAGCGCAAAGAGTTGTTATGCCAAGCTCAGGGCCCAGCCTGCTTGCTGGGCCTTCGCTCTGGGAAACAGGGGGCCTCCAAAATATTGACACCTGGAATACTCTGCCTCCTGGCTCCTCTGGCTTCCTTCAAGTCCCAACTAAAATCCCACCTTCTACAGGACGCCTTTCCCAGTTCCTCTTCGTTCTAGTGCTTTCCCTTTCAGTTATTTCCTAATATCCTGTACGTATTTGTTTGCATGTTGTCTCCCATGTTAGATTGTGAGCTTCTCTTATCTCTTTTTGAATTCCTAGCACTTAGCACAGTCCTTGACACATAGTAGGCTCTTTATAAATGCTTACTGACTGACTGAACCAGGAAACAGTCTCTGCGTGAGGAGCCTCCTTTTCTCCCCGCTTCTGTACTCCACATCCCTTCATCTTTCTCTTCCCTGCCCCCACTCTCCTCCTTTACTTGGCCTTGTCCAAGAAGTAGCTCTTTCCTCGCAGGGGCTGTCCCCTTGATCTAATCCCTCCTGTCTCTTCCGGGAGCTTGCTACCTCAGTCATTTCTCTTCCCTGCATCCTCTTCTGTCTCTCCTCGGCTGGCGATATCTTCCCCACCCCCTGCATCCAAGCCCAGGTCTCTGTCATGCTGAAGACCCTCACTTGTCCCTGCCGTCCCCTCATGCCTCAGGAAAAGTCTCACAACAGTCACTGTTGCATGACCTAGCAACAAACAAAAATCACAATCCTCACGGACAGAATTCTGCAGATTCACTGAACGAGGAACATTTCACAAAACTTAGAAAGATCACTCCCCGCTCAGCACTCACCAGGTACCTTATTTGGTGCTCAAACATCCTTTCCTAACCCACGACCAAAGAAAAGGCAAAGGCAGAGAGAATGGCCTTCCCATCTCAGGCAGAAACCTGGTGCGCACTGAGCATCTCAGACCGCAGAGAGCCCTCTCCACCTTTTCCGTGGGGACATCAGCTGGGAGGTTAAACTGGGATCATGCCCGCTCTGAGAAAAGAAAGCCACCAAAACTCTGTTGTCCTCCTATTAACCTCCTTTTACAGCTGAGGGAAGCTGAGTGACTGGCCCAGGCCCACACAGCACTCTGTCTACTGAGCCATTCTTGTGACCTTATTGGCCATCTCCACGCAGATGACCATCTGTAGGCCCAGTTCTTTTTTTTCTTTCAGTTTTTAACCATTTTTATTTAAAGTTTTGAGGTCCAAATTCTATCCCTTCCTCCCCTCTTCTCTCCCTTCCTTAGGACAGTAAGCAATCAGATATAGGTTATACGTGTGCAGTTATGTATAACATTTCCATATTAGTCATTTTGCACAAGAAGAGTTGAATAAAAGAAAAAAAATGAGGGAAAGAAAGTGAAAAATAGCGTGCCTCAATCTGTATTCAGACAATGTCGGTTCTTTCTCTGGAGACGGATAATCTCCTTCATCATGAGTCCTTTGGGATTGTCTTGGATCATTGTGTTGCTGAGAAGAGCTAACTCATTCACAGTTAGTTACTGTTACAAAGTCTTTCCAGGTTTTTCTGAAATCATCCTGCTTGTCATTTCCTACAGCACCATAATATTCTATCACAGTCACATACGAGCTTGTTCAGCCATTCCCTGACGGATGGGCATCCCCTTGATTTCCAGTTCTTGGCCACTACAAAAAGAGCTGCTATAAATATTTTTGTACAAATAGATCCTTTTCCTCTTTTGGGGTATCTTTGGGGTATGACTGAGTCAAAAGGCATGCACGGCGTGGGCTGGTTCTGTTCTGCTAAGCTCCAGTTTGTATCACCAATGGCCAATTGGATATTTCAAACTACACGTGTCAAGGATATCTCAGACTCAGCCTCTCTGCGGTTTTTAACACCGTCGATCCCCTTCTCTCTCTCTTTTTTTTTTTTTTCAAAATTTAACATTCATTTTTAATAAAATTTTGATTTTCAAGTTTTCTTCCTTTCTTCCTTCTCTCCCACCTCCCTAAGATAGTAAGTAATTTGGTGTAGGTTATATATGTATAATCACATAAAACATACTTCCGTATTAGTCATGTTGTGAAAGAAGAAACAATTTACCAAAAAAAAAATTAGTTTGCAAAAGGAAATTTTTTTTAACTTCTTCCAGTCTGAAAATCATTCTTGAAAAAATAACGGAGACGTCAACACACAAAGGATTTGAATAGTTCAGCTCTATCTGTCAAGTTTGACTTTTTCCTATCACAATTTTTTGGAAAGAATGGTTACATCTCCCCTAAAGTTCTCATCATTTCCCAGCAACCAGTTCATCCTCTTAGACTACAATAAAGTCAAAGATAGCAGTTACCCTCCTTGCTGTTCTGTCTTTTGAAGGACTTAATTATCATTATGGCAAGCCAAGATTTATCAGCTAGTCTACTTTTATCAAAAAAAAGAGCTCTTGAGAGACAGCTCAGGTCCCCAGGCATTCTGTACCATTCTGTACCTGTGTTAGGTTCACCAACTATTTCTCAAACTCCTCACATCTTTTATCCAGGTAATCTGTACTGTACTCCCATGACAGTATCATTTCTGTTGCTCCTTTCATCCAAATGCTTTGTCATGATTCTCCCTTAATTTTCATAGATCTCCTCACATTATATATCTTCAAAGTGTTCAGTTGCTCTGTGTGTCCACATTTTAACCTCTTCTGATCCTGTGGAATAAAGTTTACCCCTCCATAGGGCGGTATGGGGTGTTCAGGGAGGACTGGCGCCTCTGGTGTGAGGGCTTGCTGAGCCCTTTTCAGGGCTGCTCACCCGCCTTTGGTGTCTACCTGGCGCTCGACTCCCACTTGTGGTTCCAGGGAGCTGTGGCATGCACAGTGACCACACTCCAGTAAACCGTCTGAGCAGACGGGCTAAACCGGGTTGAGAGTGACTCAAACCCATCAGTGAGTCAGGGCGGTGTCCGCCCCAAGCATGTGAAGACTCTCCTAGGCCAGGTGGGCGGATGCCCCTTCTCTTTTCTCCTCTTCCCGGGCACTGCTCTCGCCTGTTTCTCCTCCTGCCTCTCTGACCTCTCCTTGGCCTTCCCCACTCACTTTGAGGGTCTTGGGCTCCCTTGCTGTTCCTTGAGT